GGTAATATCTCCTCAGTGCTACTTCTTCAACTCAGTTCACCCCTTCCACATGCGCCCCTCCTAAGAGCTGCTTTGATCTAGGGTCCCAAGAAATTCTGAACACAGAACTTCAACATCATGTCTAGTCTGACCCGTAGAAATAAGTGGTAATCATTGATTTTTCAGAGATTCAGTCAATTCTGTCACTGTTATAAGCTTCCTCCTCCATTTCTGTGCAAGAGTGAACCAAATGATTTTTGTCTTTAGTCTGATTATTTCACCAAAATCCTATGGCGATTTTAAAAACATTTCAATGCTGTAGGTAGTGGGTGGGAAGACTGTGCTTTATGGTTTCTTGTAGAGATTAAAGGACAGGCAGTGAGGCTTGTCCATATAGGTTTAGAGATTTTTATTTTATTTTTTTGCAGCCATAAAGAGTTATACTGCCTAGAAATTGCACACCACCTTCCATAAACTGAAGCAGGGAGGGTTGGAATGGCTGGCCCAAAGCTACAAAAAGTAAAGAAAGTAACCAAATGGGGCATTTCGAGTTTCAGGCATCTCTTCTAATTGTACTCCACTCCCTCTGTTCTTCACGTATTGTTACGATCTTCATTCATTCCCTCCATCTCAGTACCAAGCAGTAGAGCATGCTCACTTCGATTGGGTCTCATTTGAGGTCATGCAAAGAAAGTGTACATGAAAGGGAAGAACAAAACAAGTGCTGGAACAGTAGAGGGTGGGATTTTCTTAACAAGATTCAAAATTTGTTATCCTGAGAGAATCCCTATCTGCACATAAAAGGTATTGCATCGGTTTTCAGAGGCAAATGCATGCTGACTGGTAGTGTTGTTTACCATGTGTTGTCTTGCTCTGTGGAATCACACACTAAAATTAACAAGTATAATATTATTTACATGATTACTTATGCAAGGTGGCCAAGGTCACCTGATAATACCAGGGATTGTATGTGCTTTTCAAAATTTTAAAATCTTAGTGTTCCATAAGTGCATTGAATTTTGCATGAAGCAAATGCGGACTTTAAAAAACAGGCCCTTGCTCTAGAAAGTCCTTGATCTTAAAAACTGCATCCGGATAAGAGTCCTCGGCCACCTGTAATTAGAGCCATTTAAACATTTCAGGAACTATATAAATCAATGGTGGAACCTCATTTGCAATACTGTGTACAGTTCTGTTCACCACACCTCAAAAAGGATATTATAGCATTGGAAAAAGGGCAGAAAAGGGCAACTAGAATGATAAAAGGGTTGGAACACTTGCCCTCTGAAGAAAGGTTAAAGCGCTCGGGGCTCTTTAGCTTGGAGAAACGACGACTGAGGGGTGACATGATCAAGGTTTACAAGAGTATGCATGGGATAGAGCAGGTAGTAAAAGAAGTACTTTTCTCCCTTTCTCACAATACAAGAACTTGTGGGCACTCAATGAAATTGCTGAGCAGTCAGGTTAGAACAGATAAAAGGAAGTACTTCTTCATCCAAAGAGTGATTAACACATGGAATTCACTGCCACAGGAGGTGGCGGCGGCTACAAGCATGGATGGCTTCAAAAGGGAATTAGATAAACATATGGAGCAGAGATCCATCAGTGGCTATTAGCCACAAGGTATAGATAGGAACTCTCAGTCTGGGGCAAGTGATGCACTGTATTCTTGGTGCTTGGGGGAGGGGGCAACAGTGGGAGAGCTTCTAGTGTCTTGGCCCCACTGGTGAACCTCCTGATGGCACCTGGTATTTTTGGTCACTGTGCGACAGTGTTGGGCTGGATGGGCTATTGGCCTGCTCCAACATTGGCTTCTCTTATGTTTTTATAGATTCATAGATTCATAGAATGTTAGAGTTGGAAGGGACCTTGCAGGTCATCTAGTCCAACCCCCTTGGATGCTTCAACACAACTGGTTGAAATCTGCAGGATTCCTTTTTTAAAAAACATCTATGTAGGCCTTCTTAAAACATAGATGTTTTACAAAATCAAAATAGCCCCTTGATAGAAATTACCAAATTTACAAAGTCAAACAAATACTGCAGAAGGGTTTCTAAATTTCTAATGTGATTCAACTTCTCATTCAGTTTTTCAATGTGGAAACAACGCACGTTTAAATGAGTTTTGGGGTTATCATCCCAGGATGGTTGATTAGTATAAAGAAGACATTAAGGGTAAGAGATTTAGAGATCCTTATTCACTTGGTAGTAACACTGTTCCCAGTACAAATTACTGCTTTGTCTTGCTTGTGTTCATACATTAAAGGCATATGGGTCTGAGAAAAGAGTAAGTAAAAAGGCAGACACTGGTGGTTTTAAAAACATGCTGGATGAAGACAGCCTGCTGTAAGATTGGCTGTGCAGCAAATGAAATGGGAAATGAAATGAGGTCAGGCTTATAAAATACACCATTTATCAACTATCTAAATCTTAATCCAGCGTTTCATTGGTTTTTTCTGTTCTGCAAACAACTGAACTGCTGTGCAGACAGCCACTGAATCCCTCCAGGCCAGTGTTCAATAGAGTCCAACCTTCATGGTTTAATGCCAGACCATCACCAGCAACATTAGTGCATGGAGAAACCAAGCATTTCTATGCTAAAGAACTATGTTTTATCATTTCCATAAAGACTGTTGAGGCTTCAACATATAGAGAACCCAATTTTGTTTATGTCTCTGATTTCAAAGCAGAATGTTTCTTTTGTAAGTCAAATGCTGAAAGACTACTATCAACGTGGGTATATTTTACATCGTGTAATATCTAATTGTGTCAGGATCTGAATCCTGGCAGTATGTGAAGACACACAAATCTTTCCATTTTTAAAACAGGAGATGTCAAGCCCTTATAACTGAGTAATAAAGAAATGAGTAGAGCCTCCCAAGTAAGAATAGGGTTTTTGAGGTTCCCGGTTATCTGAGGTACAGGTGTTCATTCATAAAGGATTGTGAGCTTTTGGTCAGTCTGTGATTTGCTGTGTACTCAGAACCACCCACTGTCTGTACAGTAGTTCAAATGCTACAGCTCCATCAGTGTGGAATTGATCCCAGCAATTGTACACTGAACTGGGTGATTCTGTGAGCTGTGAGTTGCTGCCTCATTGCACTGGCTTACAGGATTGGGACATTAACTTCCTTCTTTTTGTATCATCAGACATTACAATATTTTAGCAAGTCACTTATGTTTTGGGCTATTATTACAGTGTTTGTCAGAACGCTGAATCACGTCCTTGTGTCATTGTAAGAAAGGTTGGTTTTTCCAAAATCCTTAAATGTTTTTTATAGCCCAGGACATGTAGGTGTACAAGTTTGCGCTCTCTAAATGTATTTCAGTGTGTACTCTTTTGCTGAGAGAAAAGTTCTCCACTGAAAATGGAAATTGGCCTTCAGTTGTGCACATGGAGACATCAGAACCTAACTCACTTTGTTGGGCATGCAGTATGTCTTCCTTTCAACAGGATGCATGCATTTAAATCAAGCTAAATTGCTGCAAAAACTTTTGGACAAGTCTTCCTTCTTGACAGTAGATCAGAGGAGGCCATTGTTTTTGTCAAGGCTTGCCCTACCCTAGCCTGAGCCTCAGAAAAAGACTCCTCAGAAAGAGCTCCCCATGGTCCCCTCTGTGCCTAAGGCTTCAGCATTTGAGAGGCTCCAGCAGGAGGTCCCCTGCCTGCTCTCCAACAGCAGTTTCCCATTCAAGTTCCCCTAGAACCCAGAACCCAGAAACCCCTCAGTGGGCCTGTCTACCTTCTGTACCTGCAGTCTCTCTGCTAGGAGAAAACGGGGGGCAGGAGCCAAAGCCTGGTCCAGATGGAAGAGTGCACACTTGGCACTGGGGCTCTCACACTCTGAAATAACACAGAAGTCCAGTGGCATCTTAAAGACTAACATTTATTTCAATATGAGCTTCTTTGAGTAACAGCTCCCTTTTTCAGATATGTGAAGAGAAAATTCATGCTGGGAATTCTTCTTATGGGGAATATTACCAGGGAGGGGAGAACCAAGCCAGAGCGGCTTGATGAGAATTCCACCATAAAACTTTTCAGTTTCAGAGGAATTTGCATCAAGCCTTTATGCCTTGGCTCACCCTTGCCCTTGGTCATCCTTTCCATAAGAATTCCCAGCATGATTTTCCCTTCATATATCTGTCAGAAGGAGTGAGCTGTGACCCACGGAAGCTCGTGCTGTATTGACTCACTTTGTATAGTCTACCTTGAATCCCTGGAAGGCTGACTGTAAATAATGTAAATAAATAAATACAAATATTGAAATAAATGTTGTTAATCTTTAAGGTGGGGCTGCGGTGGCTCAGAGGTTAAGGTGCTGAAGCTGCAGACCAGAAGGTCTGTAATTAGGCAGTTCAAGACCCCAGTGCTGCCTGACGGAGTGAGCTCCCGTCTCTGGCCCCAGCTCCTGCCAACCTAGCAGTTCGAAAGCAAGAAATTGCAAGTGGATAAATAGATACCACTTTGGTGGGAAGGTAACAGCATTCCGTGTGCCTCGCCATTTAGTCATGCCGGCCACGTGACCATGGAAATGTCTTCGGACAGCGCTGGCTCTTTGGCTTGGAAACGGAGATGAGCACCACCCTCTAGAGTCGGATTCGACTAGCTTTTGAGAAAGGGAAACCTTTACCTTTACTAATCTTTAAGGTGCCACTGGACTTAATGCTGGGGGTGATTATTTACCATGCAAGTGGACCTTATACTTACAGCGTCTGTGTTCTGAAAGATGCTGAACAGCACTGAGGAGAAGTTTGTTCATTTTTTTCTGTGTCATATATGGTTTATTAATTGTGGCCCCAAAGCAAACAGAAGCAAAGTGTTAGAAAGGCAGCTGTTGTTGATGTTGTGGTTGTTCATGGGGACGTAGGAGCCTGATGGCAGTTTGGTCCATATACTGCTAGATAAGATATATTTGCTTTCTCCATCACCTGGGTGTGCACCTTCAAAATGCCTCTTCTTTCATTAGCTTCTAAAGACATCAAATTCTGTACTCCAAAAAATCATTTTTTTTCTTTCAATAGACAAAACTTGCCAATGGCACTTCAAGCATGATTGTGCCCAAGCAAAGGAAGCTATCCGCAAGCTATGAAAAGGAGAAGGAGCTGTGTATCAAGTATTTTGAACAGTGGTCAGAGTCCAACCAAGTGGAATTTATGGAACATCTCATCTCACATATGTATCACTATCAACATGGGCACATCAACTCATACCTCAAACCTATGCTACAGAGGGACTTCATCACAGCACTGCCAGGTATTTCAGTGGGACAACAGCAAGGGGAGAGCTAGTTCTGGCTTTTTCTTCCAGGATTTTGAGTTATGTTGGCAAACTTCAAATTGGCTGTATTGCAAAAGGCTGTGGGGTGTTTTTCATGATTGACATTTGATTCCTGATTGCCCACTTTCAAAGGAGTACCAGACTGTTAAATCAGGGGCAGTTATTTGTACTTGGACACGATCTTGTCTGTTTCTATTCCTGTATATATTTGGTTGTATTATATTTATAGTTTGCCAGGCGGCGGCAGCAGCATACACCAAACTGATACACAAGATAGATCATACACAAAATTATCCTAGAAATTCTTTCTGTCCCAGTGTTGGTGTTATGGGAAGGTGCTTTGTTAGGAAGGGTGATCTGTAGAATTAAAAGGGGAAAACTTTTGAGGATTTACTTGTGAAAACTGTTGCAGTTTTGTGTAGAATACAGGCACTGTGATAAACTTGCTATGGGTTACATAAGTAATCCTTTAAAAAACCACCTAAATATATGAACTGTTTGTTGAATGATAGGATTTAATAGCCTGTTTGCAAGAGACTGTAACGCCTTCTGTATAATCTGTTACTGACTAGAGTTCAATAACGTCCAGCTTTAAATGGGATTTAATTTTTTCTGCCCAAGCTGTTCCATGATCCAATTTCACAAAAAAGGTAATCCCATTTTGTTTTCCTTCCAGCTTCTGCACAGTAGTTTGCAAAAGAACAAGCATGGAAGGTTTCAGGGACTCCTTGGTCACAAGTGGTTTCTTTCTTGTCAAGTTTCTTAACAGCCAGGTTTATAGTACTGTGTTCTCAGCATCTGTTCGATGACTGTTTTTTGGAGGTTGTTCAAGGATTCATCATATAGGAATACTGTGACATCACGAAATTTATGTTCTATGGGAGTTTTCCCTCAGTGACCTTGTGACTTTGAATCAGTTGCTTTTCAGTTAACATGCATGCACATTCCAGTTACAGAACTGGGTCTTTTGGATCATGGAGTTTATCAGGGTTTAGAATGGGATTATAAAGTCCTCATTCCTGTATTGCCTTGACAACATATTTCTTCAATATTTAGAAGTCACAGAGTGAGGGAACTAAAGCAGAAGTTCTCTTTGGAATCCAGAGATTACTTTTCCTTGCCACAATTGTGATGTACAATGCAGAATAATCATTGTACTGTTATATAGCCATGCTGTGCCTGCAGATTGATTGGCATAGATAAAGTTTGTTGGGTTTTCATCATCTTCCTTAGCATTTTTTCTTTTCCTTCAACTTCAGCACCAGTGAAATATCAAATTTCACAACACCTAATACACTTTATATTTTTTAAAACCTCCTGAGCCCTTCCTTTCAGAGACACCTCCTGTTTACCTCCCCTTTTTTCTCATCTCATTTTTCTTCTTTCAGTTTTTGAAGTGCTGCTGTCTTACTGACTATTTTCAATTGTTAGGCTTTCCCCCATTGTCTTATATTTTAACAACTGTACCCATATGCTGTAAAGTCAGAGCTGTGTGATAAAAGTCACATTTTTTAAAAAAAAAAAGTTATGCTTAATGAATTTTTCCAGAGACCATGAAAGAAATGAATAGCCATGCTGTTACACCACTTTCATGTATGAGAAGCTCATTATGGGGCCCTTTGCTTGTCTGTTATCCGCAGCAGAGACTGGGTACAGGATGTCCTGCATTAACCCTGATAAGAGTCATCTGATAGGCTTCATTGTGCATCTGTCTGCTTAAGGGTAGGCATGTGACCTCGGTCAGCCCCAAATGCATTTACTGCTTCCTATACGCCACCTTTGCCACTGACAAATGATGCTTAGTCTTTGGGGCGGCTGTAACAAGATCAGGAAAAAGAGCACTTGATCTCTTTGCGGATGTTTGGTAGCTTTTTACTTGAAACCAAGAAAAGTTGCCTTTAATGCTAATCTGCATGCTTGCCTCTTTCCCAAGTGAAATTGGGCAAAAACAGATTTGAGCAGACAGCTGAAGTAGTTTTGCAAATAGATTGGGCAACCACTCAAAATACCCAAGGCCAGGTTCACACGTGCAAGAGAATGAGCTGATAATGAGGTAGCAGAGCTCTCATATTATAGAATGCACCATGTCAGAGTACAGATTGTAGATTCCAGTTTTGAGCGTTCCTTTGCACAAAACTCCCTGCAGATAGAAAACCAAACCAGCACAGCAAGCAAAGAGATGGAGTAGAAACTCCCCCCACCCCCACATAGGAGTTTGAAGGGAGTTTTTATCATAGGGAATCATTCCAAAATATGATCCACCCACCTCATTTTCCTGCATGTGGAACCAGACCTGTTAGCTCATGTCTACTAGACACCTCAACAACCTCTGAATTGTCCACTGTTTCCACTGATGATCTGCCTATTCTTTGCAGCAGCATCTCCCTAGTTTGAAAACGAATCTGTTTACCATATTTGTATCCCAGTCTTCCTCTTAAGGAGCTCAAGGTGATGCATATGGTATTTTAACCTCAAAACAAGCATACAAGGTAGGTTAGACCCAGGATGAACAACTGGCCCAAGGTTTCTTGGTGCGCTTCATGGCTCCATAGGGATTTCATCCTTTGTCTCCCCAGTCCCAGCTTGACACTAATTGCTACATTATACTTCAAACCTGTCCCCTTCTCGAAATCCATCGAAGGCATATTGCCAGCTTCCTGTGTCCTGTTTACATTTCGGATTACTGAGAATCATCTGTGAAACATGTATACTATAATGTGGCAGTATGTATGTATGTTCAGTTCAAATTCAAACCTCAGGAATCCAGTGCTTCCCAGCATGTTTCAAAAAAGATCTCCCCTTGGCCCTGACCTGGATAGCCCAGGCAAGCCCGATCTCCTCAGATCTCGGGAGCTAAGCAGGGTACAAATTAGTCAGGAGGACAGAGGTAGGCTTTATTCGGCCACCTCTCTGAATATCCTTCAGGCCCCCAGTAGGGGTCAGTCACCAGAGGTCACTGTGACTTCCAGGCGCAGACACATGCGCACGCGCACACACACACAACCCCCTCCCCAAATACCAAAAAGATCTTCCCTTGGTTGGTCTCTTCTTACCTTCTTATAAGTGAGAATCAGGCCTTACTATATGGCCTATAACTGGCGTATTGCGTCTCCCTCCATTATACCCTGTCTCTGCTTGCTCTCACTTGTTCTAAGATTACAGGAAGGCAATTTTCATCTGTAATTTGGTCAATTTATGTCTGAATCTCCTGCACTTCAGGCCCCTTTGTTCCCCTATGGTTAGGTTCAGGGCAGGGTTACATGCGTGGCTGTAGAAATGTCCTTCTAATATGCCAACAGAGTAACTGCATTAATACAAACACTTCAGGTGTGCTTCCAAGACACTGCAACCTTCTGGTGCAAATCTTTTTAATGCATGTATTTTGTAATCTAGGTAAAGCTTCCTGCTTCCCTGTTTAACACAGCATCTGCCTGTTTACTTGTCTGTCAAAATGCAGCTGTCAAAAGAGAAATGCCTTCTCAGCTACCTCTATCTCTGACGCATTACAACAGCAGTCAAGTGAAGCTTTATTAGTGAAACCGTCTTATTTTATAGTCCTGCTATTCTGAGGCCTCTGCATGATTGGGCATGAGTGGAAGGTAGTAAGCTTAATGAAGGAACCCATCCAGTTTGAGCAGCCCATGGTGAACCCAGTCAACACATTCCTATCACTTATATGCTTATGGGGTATTAACCAGCTTATTGCTGCAGTGTCCTTATATTTTAGTTGATTGTCGCCTTTCTTCCAAACATTTGTGAGACATGCTGGCAAATGTTTGCAATTTGAGGTATTTTGTTGCATGTTTTCTTCTACCTGACAAAATAAATAACACCAGTAAAACTGCTCTTCTTTTTTTTTTGCTTTCCCTGTCTCTTTCTGTGTGCAGGCAGCCTTACCACACATCTGTGCATATACACACACGCCCAAATACTATTTTCAGGTACCACTTCCCTTCCGGCTGCACATTAGGAATATATGTTTTCTGTTCTTCATTGCATCAAAAAGCTCCTGTTTTAACAAAAAGTAGCTTTTGGAATACAAGAACAGCTGTAGCAGCAGAATGAGAAATGGGCCTAATATAGCAGGTTTAGGGGGCTGCATCACCAAGTAGGAAAAGTCTTCTACAGAACATTTCCCTTGTGCTAAAATCTGCAGAAATAAACCAGACCAAATTGCTGGATCCTTCATTACCTTTAATGCTTTGTTGTTTCTTGTCCAAAAGAAGCTGCTGGTTTCTGAACTTCACAAGAGACTGATTTCTGCCCAGTCATCCCAGGTCTGCGCTGCACTAACAAGAACAAGCAACGGTGGGGCGGAAGATGTATTCTTAACAGACATGTGCTCCTGGTGAACTCCCCCTGTAATGGCAAGCTGCCTTTACTGTTTCTTTCAGCCCGAGGCCTGGATCACATTGCTGAGAATATCTTGTCATACTTGGATGCCAAGTCATTGTGTGCTGTTGAGCTGGTATGTAAGGAGTGGTATCGGGTGACGTCAGACGGCATGTTGTGGAAGAAGCTGATTGAGAGAATGGTCCGGACAGACTCACTGTGGAGGGGTTTGGCAGAGCGGAGAGGATGGTAAGAACATCTCATGTGCAACTTTTCCATGCTCTGTAAATTAAACAGGTGCTAGTGATGCCTTGTTTCAAATGGGGTTTCTATTAATGGCGTGGCCATTAGTTTGGCAGTTTATATTACTTGAAAGTGTGGGAGTATGGATGCAAGCTCAGATATATCTGGTTCGAATATATACCTCCAAAATACCTTAATAATATATTCAGTTACGCGGAATGGTGTTCAGGATTCTTGGGAATCTTAGTGTCCAGATCCTGTATATTTCTGAAAATATTCGGGAATATCTGGGGCTGGCATTTTAAGAATCCCAAGCCTATTTTTTCCCCCTTTAACAAGTTTCCTGGGCAACAGGAAGGTGGTTCCTGACCAGCACAAGTCTTGGGTGGCTTCCAGCAGTGGTGCAGGTCTGGCTGGCTTCTTCTTCTTCCCTCCCTCCCTCCCTCCTTTGAGGGGGTGGGGCCATTTACCAGGGCCATTTTTTCCTCCCAGTCTGCATCCCTGTAAGTAGGGTGGCAGGGGCATTTTTTCAGGGGCCCATAGAATTGGACCCCTTGGTCCAATTTACTTGAAGCTTTAGTGGACAGGCAGCACTAGCACCCCTGGAATTTTGATGTAATTTGGTTGGAAAACAGCTACTCCAACCCACACACACACACACCCCAAAAGTGCAGCAGCTTTCTGCATTTCTTGAGGGGCTGGTTGTGTGTAGTATCTTTCTTTCCTACTAGCATCAGTATCCTTTTTGAACGGAAAGGTAGATGTGTTTTCACATGTTACATATACAGCAGGTTACTTTGTTTTCCTCCGCAGATTTATTCAACTGGAGATCAGTTTAATCTTAGCTATCAAGCTCAGAATACAGACCACTGAGGATAGGCACACCAAAACACAGATAGATTAATTAATCAGATGGAGCAGTCTTTCCATTATGCAGGACTTGCCGAAGTCTAGAGAACCTCTGTTAACATTTCATTAGATGTTTCCCTCTCTGGGGTAATCTTCTTAATACATAATTTTCCATCCAAGGAGCCTCCCTAGACTGTTGTCTGTGAGAAAGCTGGGTATGAATTTTTCATAAATGAGACAAAAGTGACAGCTAAGGAATTTTAACTGCTATTAAAAAAATAAAATCCACAAACATGCAAGTACAAATTCTTTTAAGGGTTTTGACATTAAGAGTATGCTGTAGTTTAACAGATTATGAATACAAATAACACTTGTGAAATATTTTTAGAACTTTTAAATGATCGAAAAGACAGCAGCTCTGTTTCTAATATTGACTCAAAGTACCTTCCAGGTCAGCGTTGGGCAAATGAGACTCAGCATGAGTCAGATATAAGATGAACAAACCTGTGGAATCCTTGGGCTCATGTCCTGTCACCCACTCCCTCTTACTCTTAATGAAAGACTTCCAGATCTGTGGTTGCCCACATTTTGTTGTAGCATCACATCCATAAATTATTCTTTGCTGTCCTCCCTGCAAACCAGGACACACAAATCTGAGGGATTCCCTTGGCTAATTTCTATAATGGCCAAGCCATGGTTTAAGTCCTTATATTTGAACCGTGTCACATCACTGGTTGCTGCATTTCCAGACATGGAGTAAAGAATAGTCAGTTTCCTGTCAAACACCAAGCTTTGTGTTCCAGTACCATTACAAACCATGGTCTGTTTTGAAATGGGTGTTGACCACCAGTTTGGGTGGCAAACTGGCTACATTGTGAGGTTGTCTTGTGTTACACACTGAAGTAATGTCTCCCCCCAGTTGTAAAGTGGCTAAGCTTTGTATGAGTGGGGCCACTTAATTCCCCATAACCATCCCCATTAGATATCTGTACTGGGTTACATTTGAAAGATTGCAATAGTGGCTACTGAGGAGCATTACAAATATTCAGTACAGAAAACTGGACTATGACATACTTTTTCGTCTCTGAGGGAAGCAGTGTTCCTGTACTGCTGTACCTCCTTAACCTTTCCCAATGACCTATTGTGGGTTTTTGCTTTTGTTTGCAATTACTTATGCAGTTCTGTCAACTCCTAAATGTTCTTTTCCATAGTTAAATGATATGGACCAAGTTAGACAAAGGAAAGACATGAGAAGATCATTTCCAACTCTCAGTTGAGTTCCATTTGTGCAGTTTTTGGTGGCTCACAGTTAACACACAAAGCAGCACACTGGCAAAGTGAGTGTGCCGTAATGGGAATGTTTTGTTTGTACACACCTTCAGGATTCTAACAGAAATGTCTTTCCTAAACTTCTCTTCCACAGGTTCAGTGGAGAAATAATACATGCCCTTTCCTTGAGTCTTAGGAAGTAGGGAATGAAATAATTATGGTACATTCTTAGATAGTAGTTCAGTATTAGAGCTGTCTTTGATTTTCACTAGGGACAAATCACTGTAGCAACAAGAGCATCTCCTTCTCTGTGTCAGTCTGTAGTGGGTACAATCATGGGATGCTGAACTACAACCACAATCGGGGAGAGGGAGTTACAAGACCATACTGGTATATTATGAATCTCAGAGACTGCTATATTGAGTTGATCCCCCCCCCCGAAACTGAATATTTTAAAAATCTGTCTTTTTTTAATCATTTAAAATAATTGTTTTATTTACAGATCAGCAGTCTAAGAAGACCAATATATTTCAATTGCAAAAGAATATGCAAATATCCTAATATTATCCTGACATGTTGTACTTTATCATTCTTCCAAGCACCAAAACATCAACTAATTAATAGAGCCAGCACAGTGTACTGGTTAGAGTGTCAAACTGTAAGATCTGGGAGACCATGGTTTCAATCCCCACTCTGCCATGGAAGCTTTTTGGGTGACCTTGGGCCAATCACATACCATCAGCCTAGCCTACCACACAGGATGGTTGTGAATATAAAGCAGAGGAGAACAAAAGCCCAAATGCTAGAATACCTGAGCATAACTTGTAAACATGCTGATAAGAAATCATCTGGAATATTAATCCTTTGTTTCATCGTTTCTGTTCTTCACAGCAATAAAGAACTCATGACTTTGCTATATAACTGCCAGAAGATGTTCCTGTAACACCCTCTCCCCTAGTCACTCTGTAGTGTGATAAAGGGAACTGTTGTTTTGAGGTTGGGAGATATGGTGTTTAGGTGCACCCCAGAACAGAGCCATTTGGTTAAGATGGATCGTGACAGAACTTTTCCATTTGTATATAATGTAATCTGTGAAATCCAAAACTGAATTCTGGAATAAATTATAACATTTTTACCCAGGTTTGAGTTGAATATAACCATACAAGAGTCAGATCCTTCACTGGGGTCTTTAACCTTTGGATCCTGCGCTTAACCCTGCACATGCCCAGAGCACCTTACGCACAAGGGCGCTTTAGAGGGCCAGTTTGGTGTAGTGGTTGAGAGCAGTGAACTCTAATCTGGAGAACTGTGTTTGATTCCCCACTCCTCCATGTGCAGCCAGCTGGGTGACCTTGGGTCAGTCACAGTTCTCTCAAGAGCAGTTCTCTCATAGCTCTCTCAGCCCCACCTGCCTCACAGGGTGTCTGTTGTGGGGAGAGGAAGGGGATTGTAAGACGCTCTGAGACTCCAAGTGAATGCTGGGGTATAAATCCACCTCTTCCTCCTCCTCCTCCTCTTGATGCTTCTCAGCAGAATTCCAACATAAGGGAAAGATGCATTAAAAAACCTGTCAGTATGTATTGTTGTAGTGCAGCAGCAGATGGAAGAGCAGAGAGCTCGCCTAGGCTAAATGCCATGCCTCATATGCCAGGATTATACTCTGAGGCATTTGTGCCCATCTCTGCTTCATAAGGCATATTGCCAGGCTGAAGAGTGGTTAGTACGCCCATGGTGGGGTTTACTAGCTTCCGCACAGTGTTTGGTGGCTCCTTAACTTTAGGATGTGGAATTAAAAATTTTTTGTTGCACAGCAGGAAGTGATTGCAGCTTGCTGATGGCTTTTGGGTTGTTGTTGTTTCCCTCCTCCCCTTTTCTGTGACAAAAATCTGGCATGAGATAAGTGGATTTCATATCCAGGCTAAGTTGAGAAAGAATCCAGTGATGTTTACTGGAAGCAGTAAAATGTCCTGTTAATTGCCTACCTACCCATTCGTTGAACAATCACATTGTGGGGAACTTGCTGGCTTTCTCAGCATTCTCCTGGTGCTGACCCCCCTCCCCAATGCCCCATTTGTACTCCCACATATTCACCTCATCCCTTTAAAATACAGGAGGAGGGGATGCACTTAGGTGCTTCCTAGTCTGTGAATCTGCCACATGTCTAAGGACAGTAGTGTTGTGTGTTGGAAGGTGGGAGAAGACCCTCTTATTGTCTTCTAAATCTTTGCACAAAATAAACAAACCAGACAGCTGAATAATCAGTGCTGCTTGTTTTGTTTTCTTTTAGGGGACAATATCTATTTAAAAACAAGCCACTTGATGGAATAGCCCCACCAAACTCCTTCTACAGAGCACTTTATCCCAAAATTATACAGGATATTGAGGTAAGAGGCAGAAAAGAAAATGTTGCAGGCAGTCAACTTGATGGGATGGGAACACTTTACTTGAACCCATGTTCTTTAGAGCTGCTTCACACAGAACAGCTTCCTGCCCAAATATCATAGCCAGTTGTGCCTTCCTACTGCATGTGCAAAGAAGCCATATCTGTGTTACAGATTATCACTTATGAACTGGCCCATAAGACTGATGTCATGTACCAGACCCATTTACAGCCAGTCCCCCTCTCATTGTAGGTGAACAGTGCTCAGACATTTGGTGATAGGTTACCCTGTCTGTCTGTCTGTCTGTCTGTCTGTAAATTCGCATACAATTGAAGATATATTACTGAATACAACCTTATTTTCACAATTACAATTCAAATGCACTATAAATCATAAGCATTCAGCTTCCAGGTTATCTCTGTTTCCACTTCAGTGCTTACAATGCATTAAATATGACAACGTCTCCACAGAAGCAGTATCTCATAGTGTCTCATTCTTGATCAGTGATTTCGAAACATCATCACAGTGAATCTTCCCATATCAAAGCTTCCCCTAGTGTAGTTAAGACAAAATCTAGACAATTCGTCAGTACCATTACTGCCCTTAATGCTGAAGGAACTTGTTCCAAAGAAAGGGAGTGGAATAGGGCCAGAAGAACATATATTTAGAGAGCATAAAAGGGCTTGGAAGCAAGGGGAGCAGAAATCGTCCTCCAGTGGATTTCAGAGATTGACAGTCAACACAAGAGTAACAAACAAATAGTCTGAAGGCAAGAATGGTGAATTTGCATTTTGCTTTTTAACCCACATAATGTTGAAGGGCAGGCTTAGAAGAACTCACACCCCAACGAGCACTGTATCCTTAGATATGGCTGCTTTCCATGTTAAAGACCTCTGGAACAGATAGCTGGCACTTGTGCCTTCCTGAGAATGTCTTAAAATCCCTTTAGGATTTGTATCACTATGGATGCTACAGATGGGGGGGGGGGGCTGCCCCACTTATAGCAAGCTTTGGGACTATCTAATAATAAATGGCTTCAGCATTAACACTGCGTCTGTTGTCCCGGGAGTCTAGCAGGCTTTATTGTTGCAAAATTTCCATGAAGATTGTTCCACACTTTATAATTGTTTCTCTCTCCCCCAGACGATAGAATCAAACTGGCGGTGTGGAAGGCACAGCTTACAGCGAATCCACTGCCGGAGTGAAACGAGCAAAGGGGTTTATTGTTTACAATATGATGATCAGAAGATTGTGAGTGGTCTCCGAGACAATACCATCAAGGTGAGAGCTCCCCAGCAGGCAAGGGCAGGGGAGATCCACTAACAGAAAGAATGTAGCTGTAATTTAATTTAGGGAGAAGCAAAGCAGGAGACAGACAGATAGAGGTGAGGGTAATCCTTTCTTCCTTGTCTTGCTTACAGACTGCATGCCCCCACCCGATCAAGTTTGATTTTGAACTGCATAGGTTTCCTCCCTCTCTCCCAAAGAAGAAGAATAAATCTATATTATCTGCTTCATTTTCTTGTGCATTGTTCACTGCTAGCTGTGTTATTGGTCCTTCAGTAATTAAAGTCTTCCTGTTCCCTAATGAGAAGGGTAAAGACTATGTTCATATTAAAAACAGAGATATTAAGGATAGTTTATATTGCTCCAAAGTGCCTGTGGAATACAAAGTGCATTGCGTGCCACTTAGAAGTTCTGCTCGCCTTAGTAGATAAAATGCTGTGTTGTAGAAAACAAAAGAGCCAGACTGGCAATATAGTCCATTCCCTTTGCCCTCCTAGATCTGGGACAAGAATACACTAGAATGCAAGCGGATTCTGACTGGACACACAGGATCAGTCCTTTGCCTCCAGTACGATGAGCGGGTTATCATCACTGGATCATCGGATTCCACTGTCAGGTATGCACATCTAGATTTGAGATCAGTTGTGCGGTGTTCTCTGTGCAACCTTCCCTCTCTGTTACCATCTGTGGCCTGTTCAGACCGGCAAGTGGTATTATCCCCGTATGGGGTTAGGTGCTGAGGTTGAATTAATGGTTTACCAGTACCTAGCACATTGCTCACTGAACTAAGTTTTAACTTTAGGCTACACCAAGTTAGGTAGATGGGGGGGGGGTGGATTTATTCCCCAAGACCTCATCTGATTTCACTCGCAAAGCCAAGGAGACTGAAGGCATGCAAAGCTAGTGTGTTACAGTGGTTAGAGTGTCAGATTAGGATCTGGAAGGCCCAGGTTCAAATCCTTGTTTTGCCATTGAAAAAAATTGCCAGGTCATCTTGAGCCAGCCACTGTTTCTCAACCTAACCTACCTCAGAGGGTTCTTGTGACGATAAACTGGAGAAGGTAAGGAAGTGATTGTTGACAACTTCAGGTTCCCATTAGGGAGAAAACAGGGTATGTATGTATGTCTGAATAAATAAATAAATAAAGGGGAAATAATACTGTTTGTTTCCCAAAAGCTTTTGTAGGAATAAGTCTTCAGTTAGCAGTGTCAGTTCTAAATTTCAGGGTTCGCAACATTTATAAACTGCCCTTGAATAAGGATAAGTTTGCCAGCATGCTGTCTTGAGTATACAGATTCTGCGTGCTTAAAAATCCCATTAGGCCATGTCATAATTTAGCAGTGCATTAAAAAAAAATTACATTCATTAGAGAAACTAAAAACAATGTATGCGCCTCTGAACTCCTTTGAGGAAGGGTGGGATAAAAATGTGATAGATTCTTAAATTATGTTCATTACTCCATTTTTATGTGCCAGACTTGAGTAGGATTAAAGAACTATTTCAACTCCTTAGTGCTGTTGTTGTTGGTGTTGTTGTTGTTTTAAAAAACACTCATACAACTGAATACCTAAAATGTTTCCAGACTTATAGTCTAAAATGGGAGGGGGAGAGAGTGGTGGAAGGAACATAATATTTGGCTAAATTCTATGCTAGGAATAAATGTCAGGGATCTTGTACAGAATTTGTAGAAAGCCGAAAGGAGGAGTGAAATGTGCAGTGCTGGCTCAATACATTTTGCTGCCTAAGGCACTGACCACAGCTATTACCCCACCCAACACTGCTGCCAGCCAGGAGCCAAATCTAGTCTTCCTTGCTTTTTCACCCCAGCCTTCCTTAAAAACACTGACAAGGCATGTTCACACAATACTCTTCCTTCTCATGAGAGCTTGGAGTAGGCAACACTGGGATCTGGGAGACCAAAGTTTGAATCCCCACTTGTGGCATGGAAGCTTGCTGGGTGTCCTTGGGCCGGTCACATTTTTTCAGCCTAACCTACCTTTGCAGGGTTCTTGTGAGGATAAAATGGAGGAGAAGAGAGGAGAATGAGGTGGGGTACAAATAAATTAAATAAATAATAAAGATCTCTGAGGGATGGTGACTTGTCAAGAACACAGGAGACCTGACCTTCTGTAGATTTTGACCATATTCTTCTCAACAGCCAGCACAACTCAAATGGAGATCTTCAAAAACCAAATTCTAAAGCAGAGACGAGACCTTGCATTATGCCCACAAGAATGGACACACACACCTCCTGTAGCAGAAGATTCAGTAGTCATTCATCTTGCACCCTCCATACTGCTACATAATCTCTGTGACATTTTTGTTTCCCAAACTCTGTAGCTCTTTTAAGTAAACAGAGAAGTCCAGTGTATGATGTTTAACTTGGACTTGGATTAAAATCTCATTTCAACCCCAATTCACCTTGTGCAAATTTCATGGTCTCTTAGTTTTAGTTCCCCGTCTATAAAATATGAATAAGACTGCCCTGCTTCACAGAATTGATGGAAGGTGGTATAAGGTTATTATTGAAAAGCTTTTTCATATCAAACTTGCTATATGTTACTAATTCAGCAGGTGTAAAAATGGCTGGAAAAGCTTAATTGGCATATCTTTTTATGATGGTGTTTGGCATGCTTCTACAGTAAAATCATATTTTCCCTCCGTTAGGGTACTCAAGTTTTGGTGAACCCTTGCTCACTACAAAAAAAAATCCTCTCCCCCTCCCTTTCTCCCCTATCGCAACTACAGAGTGTGGGATGTGAATACAGGTGAGATGCTGAACACCCTGATCCACCACTGCGAAGCAGTACTGCACCTACGCTTTAATAACGGCATGATGGTGACTTGCTCCAAAGATCGTTCCATTGCCGTGTGGGACATGGCCTCCCCAACAGACATCACCCTTCGCAGAGTGTTGGTTGGACATAGAGCAGCTGTCAACGTGGTAGACTTTGATGACAAGTATATTGTGTCAGCGTCAGGTGATAGAACTATAAAGGTGCAAATCTTGGAGATTTCTGGCAAAATCAACAATCTATGTCTTTCTCATATGAGTCCTGAACTGGTGGTAATCAGTCCCTTCCTTTTTATGTTTGTGTCTCTATTTCAGGTATGGAACACAAGCACCTGTGAGTTTGTGCGTACCTTAAATGGCCACAAACGAGGCATTGCCTGTCTACAGTATAGAGACAGACTAGTAGTGAGTGGTTCATCGGATAATACAATCAGGTAAGCAATGCCACATTTGCATGGAGCATGTGCTGCCTCTCTCTGGGCCTACCTACATCTCCCACACACACTCATATGCATGGTATTGATAGCCCATTTTACATTGGGAGGGAGGGAAGTGTTCAGATATGAATTCCCTCTCGCAGTATAGAGCTGTTCAGTCCTTTTTACTACTTTGACCTTTTAGTTTACTGAATGTGTGAGACCAGGCCTGAGAGTTAGCTTTATAAGGTGTGAAAGCGGCTGGATGTGTGGTGCACCTAGGAATTTCAGTGAACCACAAACTCTAAGCCCAGAGTGAATTCAACAATATTTAATTTATGTTTTAATTAAACTTCCGAGGCTTTGCAGGAGTTAGGAAATTTCGAAGGCTCAACCATGAAAGTAAGCATTGGGTTCAAGGACAACTTTGGCAGTGGACCACACTGTTAGAAGGCTTTCAGCCCCTATCTGGAACAGTCTCAGTAATCCAAATTCTGCTCCATGTTCCATTTGTGCTTAAAATGACCACAGACCTGACACCAGAATGAGAAGACATGAAACATTTTTGTAATTGCCTCAGTTTTTCATCATTGAAAAACTCCAAAAAGCTCCAAGCTCATCAATCAGAAGTTAATCAAATAATTGAGACTAGTATATAGTTTACTTTTATATGATCTTTTCATTAATCTGGATTTTTTAAAGAACTGCTGGCATTGATTTTTTTTCTAAAATAAAAGCTATAATGGTTGCTTTCTCAAAATGTAGTACGTGAAAGAGCTTATTGTGACCCGTTGTATAGTATACTTCCTAGCATGATCCTTTAAATTGGTCTGCGTGTCTACTTAAAGGGTTGGATTTGCAATAAGAGGCTTTTAATCCAGCACCGAATCCTGCTGGGATCTTGCCAGCTAAGCTCTTCTCTCATGGTGTTTGGCCTCAGGCACCATTTGAAACAGGTGGCCAGGAGTCATGGAGTCAATTTGCTCTGTCTTGCCTTGAAACAGTGTAAACCTTAATCCATTCTGTATAAGGCACTGGGGATTTTTGAGATGCCATTCAAATGATGTCCTTTGGATTGGACTTGATAGCTTTCGGCAACATGACAGATACTAGTGAAATACTAAACAGACACTGATTGGTCAGATTTCAGCAAGTTGGAACCAGCGACTTTGTGTATCTCACTCATTCTTAGAAAGGCAGTATTAGACTCTCTGACTGTACTATTACCATGAGGTTTTTTTTCTACAGCCACAACCTGCTTCCTTGTCCAGTCTTCTTGTTAATATTTACATTGACAAGAGGACCAGTTTAAAACTACTAACATAAAGGATCAGGAAGAACCTGGTATAATGGCCTAGTGCTCTTGTTTAAAGGTTCGATTTGCATTTTCTTGGTTCTTGCAACAAACCATGTTAGCCCAATGTATTTACATTGCTTCAGTTAGAAGTTTCTTTCAATTATTGGTCATTACCATTTCAGCTTCAACTCTCCATTGGGAATGTGTTGACAGCCTTGTTCTAGTTGATGCCACCGGCAATTTAAAAAGCAGATAAAGTTGCTGCTGCCAGCCCAAAGTTGTAAAGTTTAGTGAGTTTGCAGAGATTTAAAAACTGGTAAGGGGATCCCTTTAGTCAGGCCAACAGAGGTAGGTCCAATTAATAGTATCGCCTTTCCTCTTCTTTGTGTGTAATTATTTAGGTCCAAGGTCAAATGTACCACATCACCAGTATCCAAATAAAGACACAAAACAAAGAAACAAATCCTTTCATTAAGGGACTGTAGAGTCTGGTAATTGACTAGTGTAGCTTTAGAGAAAGCTGGTTACTGAAGATAATTGCAGTAACATGAGTAATGAAAACACACAGATCAGAGTGCTGCAGCAGACAATTTAAATAAGAGACATGGGGAATTGGGATGGGACAGTGGAAGCCATTAACCAATTATCGCCTCCCCTCTCCAGCTGCATTCTGTTTAACGCCTTGTAAAGATCAAAGGGATTGTAAACAGCACCACGGCATTGCTCAAAGAAATGCTCACTTTGTGGTGTTGACCTTGTGGTGTGACTAAAGGAAAGGCTGATAAGAGCACCAGTATTGGTGAGAGAACTGTGTTTGTTAAATATGGTGAACTTGGGCCTGATGTTCCACTGTAGCAAGAAGCCTGCCTGCTCTTTGGATTTTAAAAAGAAAGATAGACCTATAGTCCTTATATAACAACAGAAGCTATAAATGGGAAAGGCAGAAACATCAACAGTAATCCGAGCAGGAAACAGTTAAACATTACAGGGCTTAGAAAAACAACCACAACACCATACATAGCAATAACCAGCAAATATAAATGTCAATATGGTAATAAATTTAAAGAGGAATACAATTACTTTTATGCTTACACTGAATAAAATCGTTATGCTAGAATTTTGCAGAGGTTGGCAGTACATCCCAGCAGAATCCAGGTTGGGTGTTACTCAAAATAGGCCTATGTACTTCTCAGGGATGGCGCTGAAAAGTTTGATGAGGTGACCTCTTCTTGAGTCCCTGTTATGTCCATCGAATGCGGGTTGTAAACCCTCCAGACAGGGACTGCATAACTGCAGTGTTCTGTACAGTACCTCACACTGTTAGAGCAAAAGGAATTTTTGGCGGTAAGGTAGATAGATGGTAATGGTAGAACCTCTAAATAAATATGTACTTGATTTTCCATTTACTGGAAAGAACAACGTGAATTTTATTAACGGGCCAGTAGATATCACAGAGGTTTAAGACTGAAATTTTCCAAAGTGGAATTGAATTTAAATTATGTTAACACTTGTGCAGCTAGCCAGGAATGAGCAGTAGCTAGAAAACCAGTTTGTCCTCCTCAGTATTGCAGTCACAATGGCAGGGGTAACAAGAATGGTCAAGTCACAAAAGCAGAGCTTGGTCTGGTGTAAAATCATTGTGACTCCCCCTAAAACTGATATAATGACAAAATCCATGCAGTATCATGCAAGACCAACCAAAATGACACAAAACAGAGTTCAAGCTTTCCAGTTCCCCAGAACTTTTTATCCAAATATAGTGACATACATGGACTTCACATATTATGTTCATAGTATCCCTTTTTATTTCGAGAGGAGGGTGGAGAGGTGCTGAAGGTTAAAAAATCTGCCTGTAAGATATGGGAACTTCTTCGCACAAACATCTTTCCACGCAGAAACACATTTCTCCTCTTCATCAACCTCCTTTCTATTCCAATGTACAATGGGTCTTTGTGTGCCAAAGAATGGAATTTCCATTGCAAGTTTAGAACAAGCTAGACATTAAAGTGCCAGACATACGTGTAAGAGTTAGGTTGTCACTGAATTTATACGTGGAAGGAGGAGGGCTGGCAGAGAGGTCTAAGCCGTCCTTCCACCTACCCCCCCTCCCCAACAGATCTGCATGAGCAATTGCTTTTTTTCTTGGTGGGGCTCCAAGACTGAAAGATTAACACTGTGGAAGAAAAGTGGATGAGAACTAAGCAGTTTTGAATGGAGGAAGAACTCCCTTCTCTACCATTCTGTGCTTTGAATCCTCTCCCCAGTTTAGTGTGGCTGGAATTGACACTGTCATGGCATCTAGTTTGATTCTTAGCTGCAGACCGTCACATGAAAAGGAATTTTAACAAATCCAGGCAAAAATATGGAGACCATGAATCTTTAAGCGATTATTTATTTCTTTAAGAAGTCTTTAAAACCATCACTCCAACTAAGGGCTCTCAGTGCAATAAATAAAACAATATCAAGTCAATTAAATTATGAATATAATGAACCAGGTAGCAGAACTGCAACATATAACAATGCTGGTCAGTGTAAAAATGAATATAATAAACTATCTAAAGAAAAAAACTGAGCAGAAGAAATTGTAGTATAGCAAAGTAGTTGGGGGGGGGGACCTTGTTAGAAAGAGAATTCTACCAGTACAGGGCCACCACATAATTGGCCATGCTCTTATGCTCTGATTTCCTGTGGATGCAGTGGTTATCTTAACATGTGAGTATTGTAATATGCTTTATACAAAGCTGCCCTTGAACACTACTCAGAAACTACAGTTGATGTAGAATAGGCAGCCCATTCATTATCACAGGCTAGCTGTGTGGAACAAACTACTCTCGTTATATGATCATTGCACTGGTTGCCTACATGTTCCTTGACCCAGTTCAAGGCACCAGTGCTTTCCTTTAATGCCCATAAAAATTTGGGACCCACATGTGCTCTGAACATCAATAATCTGTTAGCCATTCTGACCCCTACAAAGATGCATTCTCCAACTGCCTGATCATGGGTTTTCTCAGTACCAGCTCTGTGGAACAGTCTCCCAAATGAACTAAGATGGACTTTATCCCAGTAGCACTTTCATAAGGGCTGTATGTGTGAACTCTTTAAGAGAGCCTTTTGGGCTACTTGACGGTTTTACAGTGTTAAGATTTTGGGGGGCAGGGATCTGTAAATGAGTATGATTTATTAAACTCACTGGCTGTTTTTAATTGTTAAACGTTGTTGGTATTGTGTGGCCTTAAATGATTTCATTTGGTTATCTGCCTTGGGTCTGAGCTGTCTGGGAGAAAGTCAGGCCTATAAATATTTTAAGTAAATAACTCTGAGAGGGGATCAAGGTGTAGTTGACAGAAGCAGGGTTTGTGTCTGAGAAGCTGATGTAGCTGGAAAAAGCTGTGCAAGCAACTATCAAAGTCTCCCTGCAGCAGCAAAGCCGTTTTCCCACTCAGTCTGCAAACCTCTCCTTCAGAGAGAATGTAACCCAATCCAGAAGGGGCAGTCTTACTACTTCAAGACAGTGTGGGCCCCCGTCACTGTTGTCTGGGTTCTCCTATGGATTATTAGCCTTAATCCAATCCAAAACACCAAGCAAACAGTGAGTCAGAGGCATCATTGGCAGGAAATGAAAAATAATAGGGTTAGAGTTTAGATTTAGAACGTAGGTGAGCCTTTTAAAGCCCTTTGAGCCCTTGGTGAACAGTCAGGTAGGTTTGATTAAGAACTTGCATTTCTCAGGTAAAATTTCAAACAACTACATAATGCCAGTTATTTGACTTGTCTTCTCCCAGGTTATGGGACATTGAGTGTGGAGCATGCTTGCGGGTCCTAGAAGGCCATGAAGAGCTGGTGAGATGCATACGCTTTGATAACAAGAGGATAGTCAGCGGGGCCTACGATGGGTAAGAATTGGGGAGAGGGGAGGCACTAGTCTCTCTTTTTCATCTCCCAACCCCACTCTACACCGTCTTTTCTTTGATTCATGCCCTAAATGCTGAAGTGTGAAAAGAACTTTACAGGGACGTGACTGGCACCCTACTATTATCAAGAAACTTGTCTGCAATTTGTTTTTGTTTTTATAATGGAAGTCAACTTTTCCCCATTCAGTTATAAATTCTGGAAGGAGGAAATATTTATAGTAATGTAAGCAGGAAGTAATAAAATATCTGCAGATCTTGGCTAAGCAACTGCACTACTACCTGCCATAATAACCAAGCTTGCTGTTCACCTGACCTCATTTCATTACAGGAACACGTTCTTCTGAGCCTCCCATTAGATTGATTATCTCTTACCTGGGGCCAATTTCATTGATCTTTTTTTTAATCTCTCCATTAGAAAAAGGAGATATGGGTTGGACACACTTTTAGTCATTGTGGAAATCCAATCCAGTTATGAGCAAACCTGCTTTACTGATGTTCCCATTGCTTGTATAACTTTAGTTTCTTCTTTGCACAAAAACTCATGCCTATCTCATATTCTTCTTTTACACAATGTGTCTTAGCTGAGCATCAATGCAAACAACGTGTGCAGTTCAGGCTACTTGAAACCAGTCTTCCTGCTTCCCATCTTTGTATTTCTGAACTTCTGTGCCCATCACCTGCTCACTAACAGAATTGTGTGTGGTGTTCTGGTTCACATTTATTATGGACTCTGCAGGGCAAAGGCCCTCAATTCACAATTAGCTAGCCATCATGGCAGGCTGGCTGCTGTACTCATTTACCTCACCAGTGTACCTTTTCCCAGTGCAGAAAGAACACAACTGCGGTAAGGCAAGAGACTGCAAATACAATTCGGAAAAAGTTGATCTTTTGGTTATATTGTGGGCAGGCTGTAAGACTGTGGTGTTCAGAAATACTGCCACAAAATGCTATGTTTATAAGGTAACTGTAGGTGTAAAGTGCCACAGGTTAAGAGGCAGGCTGAACCAAATAGGGTTGCCAAATCAAAAAACCGGACCGGCGGGGGATCGTCCCGCCAGTCTGGGAGTCGTCGCCGAAAGCGCGCGCGCGCGATTCGCGCGCGCGCCGCCTGAACATCACAGGAAGTGACGTCATACGCTGGGCGGGGCCACGCCATTTGAGGGGAAAACTCTTTGTTTTCCCCTCAAATGGCGTGGCCCCGCCCCCAGCGTATGACGTCACTTCCTGTGACGCGCACGCTGGGGAGGGGTTCCCCCCGGGCCCCGATTCCCCGGCGTCGGGGAACGGGACCTCCGGGGCGGGGGATTTCCGCCCTACCGGGGGGTTTGGCAGCCCTAGAACCAAAGGATGCACAGAAGTCACCAAGAGCACCAACGTTCAGAAATATATTGCACAAGTATACAGAGAGTACAAAGAATTTCACGAAGGGACTTGTGGTTTCCAGCTTTAATTTGCTTTCCTGCAGAGAGCTGCTCATTGCCTGTGCTGATAAGATTTTTCTCACATGTTATGTACCACTCCTCACTATTTCAGTTCTTGTGCCTGCAGTCTAGTGTATATCAGACTGTCAGCACTGTCCTGTTTCCCATCATCAAATAAGGTAATGAACACTCTGTGGCCTTCTCTGTCCCCATTGTTTGGGAGCCCAGGCCTTCTCAATAGCAGATGACATCACATTAGTATGCATGGAGAGCAGAAAACTAAAGTTATTGCTGGCCTACTCTGAAACACCTGCATCATTATAGTTTTGAGGTTTTGGTGGCAGCTCACCTGCCTACCCAGAAACACTACTTGGGTGCCTTCTTCTCTGCCAGTCTACAAAATGAGGAATGGAGTGGGGACCCCTGGATGGAAGGTTAGGTGCAAATTAGATAATGTCAAACAAGGGTGGTCACACATTTACACTTGTCTGCCTTCTTGCTTCTAAGCCACGGTATGATACAGAGTAGCCTCTCATTGCTTCTGCTTTAGTCAGCATCACTTCTTTAGTTTTGAATCAATTTGTATGACAGCCATATACTTTCCCCCCATTAAGATCACTAAGCTCTATACAGGAGGGAATGGGAGAATCAAGGTGCAAGGTTTAAATTATTCTTTTTTGCCCATGAACTGGATTTATCACCTAAGTTGTGTTAATGGCTAACTTTAGATCTCAGAAAGTGTTTGCTTTCTCTCCAGTGGGATCCTGATTACCTCTCTTTCTTTCTTTTGTCATTAGGAAAATTAAAGTGTGGGATCTGGTGGCTGCTCTGGACCCTCGTGCCCCTGCCGGAACTCTCTGCCTACGCACTCTTGTGGTAAGAGCCTTCAGTTGCTGAGTGGCTGTATGCCCTTAGTTATGCTATTATTTATGCTAGTAGTATGTAATGAAATCTTAATGGTTTGGCAAACAGCAGTTGCCACCAATACAGTGTGGCTGTCCTGTATCATTGAGATCCATTTAAGGTTGGATCTAAGGAGAGGAGTTTTAGAATTCAATTTGGTTCCACTGCAAGAAAGGAAGAATGCTGGTTTGAGTGAGTTTATAGCAGAATGGGAAAAGGTGGTAATAGTGCTTCGCTCCTCATTGCTTGCATTGTGTAGATGTTGTCACTGCATTTTTAAAAGTGTACACAAAGTAGAGAAAATACAGAGAGCAAAGACAATGGGTTGCATTCAACCACACTGCTCAGCTAGGGGTGGCACATCCACTGATGCAGAAATCCTGATTGAGGCTGGGAAGAAGGGCGTTAACTCTTTCTTCAATGCCCTTTTTCCATAGCTGATATTTTCTTGGGAAGAACGTGCTGTCCAGGGGCTCAGCCCTCCCCCCACCTGTTTATCTGTAAAAGGACCTGAAACCCAGTAATGTTTTGTTAATTACTGGTAAATTATTTGGGGGAGGGTTGCATTTTATTAGGATTCTTTATGTTTCTAAACCACGTTGGGTGTTCTTATGAACAGAAAGGTGGGATATAAATAGATTAATCACATATTTGCCTTGTTGGGGAAAACATGCAGGTTGTTAAGAGGGTGCCTGTGTATTTTTCCCCAGTGGGGCAGATAGCCTCTGTGAGGGGACTTCTGAGGTAACGAAATCTTTCTCACATTACAACTGCTAATTTACAGAGAACGACATGCTGGAAAACTGGTTATAGATCTTACAGCATCTCTTTCGGTTTGGCCTTCATACTCTTAGCCTAGAAAGGGTGGGTAGCAACATGTTTTAGGTGTTGTGTATATCTATAGCAACTTGATGGGCATCCTGTTTGCTGTTTCACTTCTTCTCCTCAGTTCCTGTAATTAAGCCTGGCTGCACAATGAACATAGCATACCCCCTGCTGTTTTATGTTCAGTTTCCAGAAAGCAAGAGAAAAGTCCACCCAAGTATTCATGAGAGCCCTGCTGTGCATGGATGCATCTAGCCTAGCATCCTGTTTCCCACACTGGTCAGCAGATTTTCTGGGAAGTTGGCAAGCAGGGCATGGAGGCAATGGCCATCGCCCACTGTTTGTCACCCAGTATCTAGTACTTAGAGGTGTACTGCCTTTGAAAATGGAGATCCTATTTAGTAGATACGGCTAGATAGTTTTAATGCCCCTATCTTCCATTAATTACTCCTCCAATATACTTATGTGTGGCAGCTCCATTCCTCAGGCTGTTTAAGGTGTGATTTTGTAGGCATACTCAAACACCATCTGCCCAGGCCAGACCAGTGCATTTGTTTCTGTGCTGTGGAATGGCGTTCTTGAATACCTCAAGATGGCATCCTCTTTGCTGGTATTCCAGCACCACTGTAGGATGGGATTGTTCAGTAGTCTAAGTTGGGTGCATGAAGTAGTTTTAATGTTGCATTTGTTGAGTCTAACATTCTTATATTCTGGATATATATTTTGATTTATGTTGTAACTCATCTCACATCCATGGAGGAGAGGTAGGTTACAAATGCTATAAATAAATTAGTATGATTCCTATTTTAAGCTGGCTGTGTATTGTATAAGTTTATATGTATTGTGCAAAAAGGTACTTCCTTTTTCTCTGTCCTAAATCTATTGCTAGACCGTTTTGAGAGAAAGCAAAACATTTCTCTGTTCACTCTTGCCACACCATTTATAATTTCAAAATCTTATCTCCAGCATTTCCCTTTACATTCTTTTCTGAAGAAATAGTAACTGAAACTGTTGAGCACAAGGAATACAGATGGCATCTTGCATGCTGGGCCTCTGTCCTTTAAAGCCCTCTTGCCAGGTCTGTTCCTTAGCAGCTCTTGGCACTGGTTGGGAAGAGTGGGTCAGGAATATGTTGGAAAAATTGGTAAAAATAGATAAATATTCAGAGATTGCAATGGATCTTCGCTTCACTGGAGAGAAGGCATTTTCTTCTATGTAAAAATCTTTATTTCTAAAGGGAAGGGTTCACAGGAAATCTACAAAACAACAAAGATACCTAAGGCTGCAGTCACACGGAACATTAGCCACGCAAGAGAGATGGAAGACAGGCAGATTTTCCGGTTGCGATCTCACCGGCACATCTGGGAAGCGTAGCGCTTCCGTGGCACAACCGAGGCTTCCCGCCGAAAACGCGCAGCAAAAAACTAGTACCACGGAGGTACTAGTTTCCGGAAACCGCGGGGCAAGGGCGGGCGTCTGATCGCGTTTCTGGTGGCATCCGGCGCCCGCCCATGTCCCCTTGCGAAAAAGGTGTGTGGTTTTTTTCCAAGTCTCCGTGGATGCGCACACGCACCCAACGGAGCATGCACATTTGTCGTGTACACAAAAAAAAGAAAACCAGTTTGCCACACCGCGCGCTTCTTCGTTGCGCGCAGGCGTGTCCTGTGATCGGCACCTCTCCCTACCCACGGAACCTCCACGGTACCTCCACAGGACCTCCACAGGAGGTCTGATCGCTTAACCATGCGTTAGTTTGCCCCGGGGCAAACAGCCACGCTTCCCCCCCCCCGCAGTTTCCTGCCCGTGTGACCCGGAGCCTAAGAACTACATTTTTACAGTTTGACCACACAGTCTACAACAATGAAGATTCTTCTTCTTCTTGACCCTTAGAAGGAAATTACCTGAATGCATTAACCAATGATTGTTAGTAAATAGGCTGCAGTTTCCTGGGCTCTCTTCCCATTGGCTCTGTGCTAGGTTCCCTTCCAGGTCAGTCTAAACAATAGCACATAAGGTAAAGCACATTAACCCTATAATGACTGAATTTTAGACCTTGCAACACACATATTTCTAACAGAAATGGGCCCTTAGGCATATTGGCTTGGTTACCTCTTATTTGTTAATCGGGTAAGTACTTTATGGAGAGAATGCTCCCTTGCAAGGCACTGTTCACATGCTAAATTCTAAAATGCTATCATATACTCATATGCATGGCAATATGAAGGAAGTTATGATAGACCCCAACTCTCCCCCACTCCCAGGCAGATTTTCCCACCAAAAACATTTTAGTTTCCCTTCTGTATCGTGTATTTCTTCTTTATTTTATAATGTTTAACTGTCCCACCCTGTCACCGATATTAGTTTAGGCTTCTGACCCAGCACAGGATCTTAAGGAAAAATACAGGAGCTGTCTTACATTTGAACCCTTATTGAAATGGCACTTGAGGCAAAGTAACATTCAAAAGAGAAACAACATTTTATTGAACAGGCATGGAATATATATAATAGGAGATTGTCAAGGTTTAGAAAGGCGTAGGTAAAATTTCATGCCATATACAGATTTGAAAGCTTAGATCATACAAGAGATTGTATTTGCAGTTTAGTTTCAAGGTTTTGTAGTTCTTTCTTCAAGAGGTACTGTATTTAGTATATTGCATCACTAATACAGTTCTTATTAATGTTTCTTCTGGAGAATAGCATTTGCTTATAGTTCCTAGATTTCTTCTTTTAGAAATCTGGTTTCTCCCTTCTGGTATTATAGCTTTCCAGAAACTCTTGGGTTATCTAAGCTCTTCCTCTTTATCACAGACCAGGGTCCTCTTCCCAACCCCTTCCTACTGGGCTAGAAATTATTCTTGTCCCTAAGAAGCAATAACTCCTTTTACTATTTGGTTTATCTGGGAATTCTCTCTAACTCCTCAGACCGCCTGCCAAATTCCTCTTCTAGTTCTATATGTCTGTATAAAGCAGTGTTGTAGTTTTCTTGACTGAGAATCTGAATTCTCCTTCAGAGTAGTTTTAATATATCTTGGACAATGAAGTCCTTCTTCTCACTATAGAAGTACTTTTCTGACAATTCCCTGACAGAAATCTCTGACTCCCAAAGTCTCTTCCCTCAGAAGACAAACCCTCTGGCTACTGATCCAGATGTTAGATTTCAGACAAAAACTAAAAGTGATTCAGAAAGAGAATGAATCTTTTCCCTCCAGATCAACTGTTTTATTTCCTCTCTAAGCTGATGCTGGCCAATCAGAGAGCAAGTAGAGCATCCGGTCACTTAAGCTCTTCTCTCCAGGGAAGATTAACCAGTATGTGTCAGCATGCTCCTGCCATGGATAGTATCCAAAAAGGAGAAATGATTTGTACTGAACAACGACTCCATCTTAGTGCTGTTAAGTGGCAGGTAAGCATACAGTCAGTTGTGAACACATGGCATAAGTAAGGGCTGTCTTTCAGCTCACAGAAAGGTGTCATGTCGGTTGAAATGCATTTTCTGTTGAGTATGTTTTATGTATGTCAGGGCCAATCTATGTGTTAAGAAAAGGCCTCATGGACTATACCACTTAAGTCAATCATAAGACTGGATGCTCCTGAGCAGCAAAAACATTCTTTGCCGGTGGAACATTGTTATGTCAAGGAGAAGGGTTTTAGTGGAGCCTAGACCATATTGGTCTGCTAGTTCTCTGTTGGCAGTGATCTGTTGCCATGACATATCATGTCGTACTTCAGATTAGGTCTTATGTTTCTGGCTGTAGTTTCCCTGACATTTCACATGGAATTGCATTGATCTCTCTGTGCATGCACAAGTAGATTGACAGAGGTACATTTGAAACCATAGTTACAACACAGAGCCATAAACACAGAATAGCTGTAAGAACTTGAGGCTAGTGTTCAGATACAATGAGAAATTCAGAATGTAAACCCTTTCTTGGTTTGTTAGAGGTTAATTAATGGATGTTTGAAATATGTTAGAGGCATGGTGTATTTACAAGCAGAACTAGATTTCACATTTTTGGACTCCAAGATTTCATATGTGAAGACCAGAGTAAATTCTGGATGTTATCCTAGTTACATACAGGGCTCTACTGGTAACAGGAGCTCCTTTGCATATTAGGCCACACACCCCTAGTGTAGCCAGTCCTCCAAGAGCTTACAGTAGCCCCAGTAAGAAGAGCTCTGTAAGCTCTTGGAGGATTGGCTACACTAGGGGTGTGTGGCCTAATATGCAAAGGAGCTCCTGCTGCCCTGGATGCATGTAATTCTTCCTAATATATTTCATTCATAAAATGTGGAAGATTTCAGGACTTTTAGTTGGAACATGAGTTCTTATAAGAGAGGAGATGACTAGAGATGGTCTGGGCTTTACATGCATCAGAAAAAGAAGTTGCATAGTATAGATACAGGCCCTTTCTCTAATCCACCACAAATCCTACATAAAACCTCAAACTTCTGAGGCTTCTGTTCACATATTATTCTTCATGGTCTCTCTGCGGGCTCGTGTATGAGTTCTGTGTTGGCACAGAGCATTGAACCAAAGCATCCCTTGGAGTTTCCTAAAGACAAAGCCATAAAATTGGTAGCAGAGCATCTTTTCCTCCTATTCTCATGGGGAAGGAGCAACAATGTGCATACCTTGAGGAGCAGGGCCACATCCAGGCCCGTACCTGTGAGGGGCATTTGAGAGCAATGGGCTCATCTCAGGAGGATGCCAGACCCACCCACCCCTGGTGCACTGCTCTGCTGCAGCTGGAAGCAGTAGGAAGACCCAGCAAGGCCACGCAGCAACTGCCCGCTGGGGTAAGGAGCCGCCTCCTGCTGCGGCCGAGGGGCAGCCTCGGCAGGTCTGAGAAGCCCACTGCGGATGGCACCTGTGGGGGGGGGGAGCACCACACTCATTTGCCTCACTCGTGTTCGCCTTGCCTACCGGGCTCTCCTCCTCGAGTGTGGGCATGGGCGAGCTCGGGCACAGAGAAGGCTGGCATGCAGGGCAGCGGGCTGTGCTAGCGAAGAGAAAGTAGGAGGCAGGCAGGCAGGGGAGAATGGCCAGCCCCAGTGCCAATCATCAGGTCATATGATTTTAGGACTATTTAAATTTGTTTACTTATGTGTTTTAATCTATGTAAGCCGCCCTGAGCCAGCTTCAGCTGGGGGGGGGGGTATAAATCCGACAACAATTAAAAAAAAAAAAATGTCACAAGTGACGTCACCACATCAAGGGTACGTGTGCTCCCTCCCAACAGAAATTTTCTGGTTATGGGGCTGACTGTGTCATCCTAGCCTGTTCTCTTTCAACCACAACAGCATTGCTGAAAGCTTTCTCCTCTTATGCAGTGGGCGAGGCCTGCTTTTTCATTCCGTTCTCTGTGTCTATTCTTCTTACTTCATTATTCAGTTTTCTTCCTTTCTGTTTTGTGGTTTATTTCCCTTAGGATCTTCCCACACATTTCTGAGCTTCTGCATCTATCACTGTTTACAACTTAGTAACTATATTCAAAAATATATTAATCATTTAACTTTCTAAGCTATGAATAATGTCTAATCAGAACTTGCAGTTGACTTGTATTAAACTTTCAGCAATTCTAGAAATATAATCTGCATTTAATTTGTCTTTCTTCCCTCCCTCTCCCCAACTCAGGAGCATTCTGGCCGAGTTTTCCGGCTCCAGTTTGATGAGTTTCAGATTGTCAGCAGTTCACATGACGACACCATTCTCATCTGGGACTTCCTGAATGATCCAGCTACCCAAGCAGAATCAACCCGCTCCCCCTCCAGAACGTATACTTACATCTCCAGATAAATAGTACTACACTGTACCTCACACTTGCACAGGTAAAAATGAGAACCCTTGCAGGCTGCAAAGTGTGTGTTGGGGAGGGGGGTTTGTAAATGGCCAGGTAGGTCTCTGCCTCCTGGAAGAAAGTGGGGATATTTCCTGGTTCCTTAACACGGAGGCATTCTTGAGAGCTTAATAGCCAGCCCAAAGTGAGACTACAGGACCATCCTGTCATCACATCAGCCAGGCAAGAATCTAGTTTCCTGCCTGTAAGGTCAGGTGACCTTTCAAAAATTGCAGAAGAACAAAGGGAAAATGCAAGGATGATATCGGAAAGTGGAATACTTTGCTTTGGATTTGTGATGCTCTAAAACCACTGTAGAGTTAGATGACTTGCAGAGAGCTAAAGTCCCATTCTGGGATTATATGATGGTCATGAAGTTTATTCAGCATTCCCCCACAAAAGAAGGATGAGGGGGGTGCTTTGTGTCGTGAAGACTAAAGAGTACTCGAGATTGTAACAGGCTGGTGTATAGACAATTGGATTAAAACCATATCATGGAATCATCTTTTCACTAGTCGCAAGGTTCCATTTGCAAAGATGTAGATGAAGAACTGTTCTTCTCTTGTCTTCTCTCCCCCAGGACTCATTTAAGCTGCGATATTTAAATTATCTGCCAATGCCAGGGCAAAAGAATTATCCACATAACAGATACTCCTGAAGAGAGGCTCTCAGACATACTTCTGGAACCAAGTTGGCATGCGGTTGATCTCGATCAAGGTCTTCTCAGCACGGCTGACTGCTCAAGTGCTGCTATATCAGAAGATTTCTTTTGTCTTTCCTGAATGACTGATGTGCTAACCCCCCCTTTGCACTCTTCCCCCTCTCCAATTCCCCCTTTGTTGTCCTGAGTGCACACATCCTATAAATATATTTAACATGTTACCAGGATTTCTTGCTTTGCTCTTAAGCAGAAAAATCAGTGCCACCACTCATTCCACTGGGAAAGTCATCTTGTGTTTCAGGTGGAGGGGAGCAGCAGGCTGATGCCTTTACTTTTTGGGATTTGCATAAAGGGTATCTCTGTTTAGCCGTAGAATGCCATAAGACTTTACAAAAGGGCCAAATTAATGCCAAATAAAGGCCCTGGTGGCCAGAAACCAGTTGAGAGGAAGTCATAATGAAGTCCAAACTATTTCGTCTGGACCTTTTGGAATAGTTCCATCTGTACAAGGTGTTGGTTTGGTAGATGCCAGTAAGTGAAAGCTCTCATTTGCCAGAGTCTAGTGTTGCTGAAGAGGTGAGAGTTACTGTTGCTATTAAATCCCTGAGATTGCAAGAAGTTCGTGGTGGCTTTGAGAAATGTTTCTCTGTCAAGGGTGTTCTACAGAAAGCTAGATTTCTCTGTCCTCCTACAAAGCACTGTATGCTGATTTTTCTGTCCTTATTGCCTCTCTCAAATCCACCATATTGCACCAGTACTCCTTATGCACAGCATGAAAACAGAGTTGGATGGTGCCTTCATCAGCACTGAATGAATGACCTGGTAATTCAGACTTTTCCTGCTCACCTGTTTATATCTGTTCATGGACTGACATATGTGCATTACTGTCCTTCCCAGTCAGCTGCAAATGTGTCTCTCAGCCCCCAGAACTGCAAGGCAGATATATATAGGGGAAGGACAGGGGGAAGAGTGGGAGGCGAGGGAGCACAGTAGGATGAGCAGCAAGCCTATGGTACTAAGTAGCTCTCATTACTTTGGGGAACATTTTAGAAAAGCTCTGACCTTCCAGTGGAAATACCAGGCCCTTTGTCTCCTAAAACGGGGTTAAGAGTAATAGGGCTACTCTTTTGGTAAAGACTTGTTTTAATTTAAGAAAGAAGAGGGCTTTACTTCATGCTGCTAGGCAGGCAGGCTTTGCCTGTGTCCTGTCCTTATTCACTTGGGAGTAGCTGTCGTCCCAGTAGAATCCATGGTAATGTTTGGCAATTGCCACAGCAGGCTTGGGAGGCTGGAAATTGTTGGGTACTTTAGACTAAGCGGGCAGCTGGTCCTGTCCTTGTGGTTCTCCATACTGGTTCAAAAGGGATACCCCATCCAGGGATTTTTAACCTACACATGAGCCAGGGACATATTATCACCAAAGGCATAGAGTCAGAGGCATTTCTTCTCTGAACAGAAATATTAGTGCTGATCTGATGTTTGTTTTTAAGTGTCAGTTACTGTAACTAGGAAATTCAGAGCTGCAGGTAGGGATTTTATCCTTACTCTGTGCTGCCCTTCAGTGGATGGGAAGTTTTGCCTTGCACAGTGCTTTGCAACTTCATGCATAGCAAGAATGGAAATGAGAGAAACAGAATTTTCCAGGTATTATTCTCTGTTATGATTAGTCTCTCTCTCACACACACCTTTCACATCGCTTAATAACTATGCCCTTGAGTCCTGTGCCTACAAAGCTTGCAGTGTTGGCTGTGTATGTGGAACAAGATGCAGATCTGCTACAGCTGGAGCATCATCAAGTTGTACTCTTGCTTGCAGCTGGAACTGTGAGACCAGTGTTTTCTTCTCCGAATACTACAGGCATTTTTTAAAAATGTGTATTTGGTGGCGACTCTGATATGACTTTTGATTTGCTGAGTTATGTGGAGCTAGGGATCATAAAAGAGGCTATGCCAGTGATGGGGCAGCTCTTCTTTGGCTGGTGTTGCCTTGCTGTTGTTCTCAAACCATTTGTAAGCACTGAACTCTTTAAAAGAAACAAACATGAATGAATGACAGTGTGCAGAGCATGTTCTCAAGGGGAAAGCAGCAAGATTTTGCTATAAGCCATTTCAAAGGAAAAGGCTAGAAGTGTGGGTTTTTTCCCTGATAGACAAAAAGGTTACCACAAAACAAAGACCTTCCCTCACTACCCACTTGAGTTGTATGACCTTGAAGGAAATTTTGAAGTTTACAGCCTTCATTCTGTTGCATTTCCAACCATTTGGGACGGGTTTGATGTTCATCTGATGTGGTTCTAAATCTTTATCTGTGTATTTGGATGTTTTCCGGATGGTTAGTTCTCAATTGGATCTGAAGTCAAAGTAGAAAAAAGGGAAATTTAATGGTCGTGATGGTTCTTTAAAAGATCTGTGATCCAGGGCTACAGCTTGCTTTGGAGTGAAATGCTAACCTGGAGTTACTGCTTGCAAAAAATAGCCTTCTCTCTCACACACTGTGGAGCAGAGAGCTCTGCAGACAGGTTTTCAGAGGAGGAAGAGCAGTGCACTAGGGGAGATCCCTGGTACAAGAACGTACATGTCTAGCATGAGGACTGTTGGCTAATTTAAAGTGTATTTAGAGAGTGTGGATGCACAGTGAGATGTAGCACATAGGAATCCCCTGCAGAAATACATGCTGGGTCACTTTCACTGTACTTATTTAGGCTTCTGAGGTTTGATTACAATTACAAGGCCTGTTTGTGAATCCGAAGATGGACAAAAAATCCCATTGCTGCAAAATAAAATAAAATAAAAATCCTGTATTTAACTCTGTAGGACAGAATAAGAATGCGGCATATCTGTGTGTCGTCCCCCCCCCCCCCTTCACTGGCCTCCCTTATGTAATTCTGGCTGTTTGAGCCAATGTAAGTGGCAGGTGCTTGGCATCTTTGATATTTGGCTCTTTGGGTCCTGGGGGTTTCTTCCTTCCAGGCTAGGCTCAAGCATATCTAGCAGTTAGCAGTGTTACTAAAAGAAATAACTGTGTGTATATTATTTTCTGTAATTAACCCATTCTAGAGAGAAGATGTTCTATGCAGGATTTGAAGGAATATTCAAAAATTTCCAGTAGCTATCCAGGTTACATGTCTCCCATTTAGCATATCTTCTTTCTCTAAGGGAAGATCTGGGAAAATCCCTTTCGTACGTGGCACTGCCATGGCCTCCTAATTGGCATGTATGATGCAGTGCTGAGTTGGGATCCAGTTTATATCCTTGGCCCAAATGGCTAAGTAATTTCCTTTCCTGAAACAGGAGAGATCTCCAGATAGCTTCCTACGTCTGTGTCCTCCAGGTTTCACTTCTGGATGAGCCTCTTTCACATGAAATTGATCCTACATATCCAGCCAGGAGTGAACTTACTGTGTGGCCTTGGAAGCACAATTCTCCCCGTGGGTCACTTTGGCTCAAGCAGCCTCCGCACAAGTTAAATGCTGTGCACTGAGAGGTGCATATTCTGTAAGAAACATATATCTGTTGTAAGTCCCTTTTGGCTCCCTTCTGAACTATAACTTAGCTCTTGGTATTAAGCACCAGTGTGGCCTCTCCTTTACAGGTCTGCCTGATGGAAGCTGTGATTGATCAGTTACTGCTTCCCTTTGGTTCTTAAACTCAGCTTTCTTTAGGGCTTTGCATTATCATTCATCATGAGCATCATGTTGGAGGGTTGACCTCCCCGTCCCCTTATGCAATGTGCAGTTGGGCTATAGCTCAGTTGAATTCAGGTCCTTTGGAGTAGCAGTGATCATATCAGGATTTCTAATTGCTTATTAGTGACTCTTCAATTATATGAGGTATGCTTAGGATTATGGGCCTTGGAGAAATCCACATCAGTACAAGCACTGAAACATTATATAGATGCAGTCCCCACAAAAGTCACTAGTTAGTATTCTAAAGTCACTGTAGACTCTTCTCTAAAAATCACCTTTCTAGAGACAGAAACATTTGTTCTGGAATACTGCACAGCTTTTCTGGAGAAGGTACAAATGGTTCATTATTTTCTAGGTCTGCTCATGTGCGTAAACAATTAAAATTCAGTGCTCAAAATAAATACAGATCAATAAAGTGTACACTGATTTTCTTAATTTTTATCAATTTGCATGCTTTGTTCTGAACATGAATTTGAGTTTTTGCACACTATCAAACTTTGGGTGCGGAATTATGGGTTAGCAAAGGCAAAATGCAAACTGAGGTGCTCTATGGAAGAGCATAACATTGAGTGTTATGAAGGCAGACTACAGGAAACAGAAGTACCACCTTCTGACTGGATAATTTCACAGTACCTCCTGCCTGTTTCAAGTGTGTTTTCACATTAAAGAAGGTTGGTCATTTTACTTTAAAGGTGGGAAGGGGAACTGAGATTTTCAGGAACCCAGAAAACACACAAGTATTTGTGCACAGAGACTTGCAGATTGTTCATTAGAAGAAGGCTCAACATCTTAAATTGCTTCTAAGCACCCCATTTTTGTTCTTCAGATGTCTTTACTGGTAAGCAAAGAGCTCTCCTTAGTTCTGTGGAACTAAAAGAATGGTTGATGTTCACTTACCGAATGATGGGTTCTGGTTGAGTAGGGAAAGGGCCAGGAAGCCCTGGTCCATACAACACAGGAGATTGCCTTGTATGAATGTTGCTCAGAATATAATAATGGACCACTCTAAAGAGGAATTTTGGTAACACATTTGGAAAGGATGCAGCTTCATCCAAAACCTTGCAAAAAAGAATTAGCACCTGGTGACAATTCCCCTAGCCTAATAGCATGTTGCTCTTTGAAAGTACACAGCAGCCCAATACATGCGTATTGCAACTGCAGGAAGCTCAGAGAACTGTGGGCACAAAAGGTTAGGAAGTAAACATACGATCTATGAAATTTTATTTGTAACTGCTCTCTGTTCTCTAGATCCTTAAAGTAAATGAGTGCTTTGGAATTTTTGTGATTACGGTCTGGTGATGTGTAGCTGATGTACTAATGTTCACTTGAGCTAGGATCATGGTAACGTGTGGTTTTTTTATAATTTTATTTTAACTGTTCAGAAGATAACTTAAATACAAATATAAGATGTGAACCTGATAAGCGTTTTTATTTCTTGTATTTTGAATGAAAACCTTGTTTTCCGGGCATTCTGGCAGTGAACAAACTAATGCAGAAGTGCAACACCATCTAGTTCAGTTAGCTGTCATTTGTTCACACTGGTACGAACTTTTTCATAAAATCTGTGTACTTTGTACAAAGGTTATTCATGTTGGCTTCCATCTGAGAGCACTGTAAGTCAATCAGGATGCATGTGAGCATAGGCAAAAGGGGAGGTGCATTATTAAATGAATCCAGAAATATATACAAGTGGGACAAGAAAGAACAAATTTGGTTTTAGAAGTTATTCTAAGTGCAGTTGTTTAATGATTATGGTTAAAAGAAGATGGCCTCCAAACTGATTCAGATGTGAAACCATTTAATCTGATCTACTCTGTTGAATCCAGTCTGAGCGCATTCAACTTTGGTCTAACCTTTCTCAACTAGTATATTTTTGCCGGTGGTCACCAGTTCAATGCTTCCCTCATCCTTGCTTCAGTTAGTGTGCTTTGTGACTGGAAAGTTTACTCCTTTGCCAGCACACTTGGTCCATTGAAATATATCATCTGGATTAATAAACAGGAGATTCATCTAACACAGCACAAGAATATGACAAAACAATGCAGGTGACTTGAATTTGTCCCACTTTTGCAGAGAAAGACCACAGGTGTACTTTGGCTTCTCCAGTTCTTCTTTTCTTTGGAACTTTCCCAGAGGGAAAAGAAAAAAACCCAGTAGGAACAGCCTTAGAGATTTTTATGGAGAGTAGCATCTCGCATCATCTTTTATGCTGTAGGCATTGTCTGTATCTTACTCTGGAAAACCCCTGTAAATTGTTCAGTAGGTTATAATTGATTTCAGAGGAAGAGAAAATGCAAGGTGTGAAAAAAGAGCAAGCATCAAAGGCTGAGAGTGGGGAAATGTATATATTCCGGTTTGATATGTAACTCCATTAGTTAACAAAAAGCAAGCTTAGCTGCAGAAATTGAATTTCCAGAATCTGAGACCCTTCATGTGATCCACTATTGCACAGGTGACTTAGGTGGACAGGTTATCAGGTAGAAAACCCCTTTCAAAACAGCTTAAAGGGTGATGGAGTCTACAGAGGCCAGGGGGAGAAAGAAAGGATGGGTCTCCATTCCTTTCACTCACTGGTATGATTTACTTAAGGAAGTCAGTCCTATCTCTCACCCCATATCTTTTGTCTACACTGATGGACTTCTTTCCACTAGGTTTTCAGTTGAATGTGGGCATTCATCTTTACCTGATTGCCTTTGTGGGTTGTGTCACTGCAAAAATTTGGACCACATCAAGCCGTATACTCTGGGCCATTACCTGTTAAGGTCCATCCCCATTTCATTCCATTGGCTGACATTTCAGCTAGAGGTTAAGTGATCAGGAGAAGTGGAAACGGTCTCTAAATCCTCAGCGTGTTGTGAGGGGCGTCCTGAATAAGAACGTGCCTGACAAACTGCATCAGGGAAAACGGCTTGATATTACAGACTAAGCAACGAGTTGCTCCTTTTGCAGTGGAGACCACCTTCCAATTGTCCCGGGTCCCAACAGCCTTCCCAACTTGTTCTGAAAAGCCCATGGCCATACACCTAGGATACATTTTGTAAACTAATGTGCAGCCAGTAGTGGAAAGCCCTTTACCCTCGTGGACTGTCTGAACTCCCATATTAAAATTATGGGTAGTTTTCCCAAGAATTTTCTGGGGAGAGGGTGCTTCTGAATATGGTTAATGTACATAAAAGGATGGAGTAAAGGCATAAATGCACATCATCATAATCCTTCCTGTGCATAGATGCAGACTGAAGAGTTGGATTGGTTGATGACTGCCTTTACCATAAAGCAGCAGCATAAGGAACTGATGGCTGCGGTCAGGGCTTTTTTTGGGGGGGAACACGGCAGAACGGAGTGCCGGAACCTCTTCGACAAAACTCTTTTTAAAATGTTTAAAAGTTCATGAGTTTTCAGTATACAGATAGAAAACTTCATTTCCCTCTTGAGAGTTCCGGCACCTCTCGACCAAAAGGGGAAAAGGCCCTGGCTATGGTACTGAAATACAAAATGATAACCTTTGGAACATGGATAAATATACATTGCTGTAATCCCATCTTGCAAGAAAAATAAGTTAAATACCTCTTGTGAAATTGGTCATTCATGCAGGAAAGCTTGCAGGTTGGAAAGTGGGCCTATGATGATCTGGGGCTACAACAGCAATAAGGTCACTGATAATGGGACTGGCATTCAGAGGAAACTCTTCTTGCATGTTGCTGTGCAGCAACCTGCTATGTGCTACAAGTTGACTTTGTGGGATAGCAAGGAATGTTCCAGTTTGGCAGAATGCCCAGTCTCTACATAGATTTTCTCCCCACAACCACAAATCCATGGAAAATACAAAATTACTCATTCATAGTTAAAACTGAAGAAGCACAGGCTTGGGGAGGGGAGGCTGCACAGTGAAGAAAAGTGTGTTCTTTGGTCCATGTGGATTCTCAGTCTTGTACTTTGCTGCCTGTACTGTAAAGTCAGGCTGGTGCCCAAACCACCACTCTCCCCCAAAAGGAAATGTCAGCCTTTAGAGCAGTGGTCTGCTTTTTTCCTGGTCTACGACCTTTTCTATCTTCTTGCCAGTTCAGGTTCTGTCTCTGCAGATCTTCATAGCCCTGTGTTGCATAGCCCACTAGCCCCCACTAACACCAGTAAAAGTGTGAACTCCCCAAGAACTTTTGGCCTGGGATGGATGGATGGATAGATACAGTTTTGTACTCAAGAATTTTTGACCATATGATGTCAGGAGTGAGGGGAAATGCCTCTATTCTCACCTATCCAAGGTATACTTCCTATGCATGCATAAGTATCCCTTCTACCACAGGCTGGTTACACTATCTTATCAGAGCCCAAGACTTAGGTTTGCACATGTAGGGTTCCAGGGCTTAAGATGCACCAACCAGAGCCTGTGTGTTGTAGTGGTTAGAGTGTCGGGCTAGGATTTGAAAGACCGTCTGAATCCCCACTTTGCCATGGAAGCTTGCTGGATGATCCTGAGCCACTCACATACTTTTTCAGGTTAACCCAGGGGTCGTTTCGTAGAAAAAGAGCTAGGGGAACTAATTAGAATAACTCATTAGCATATATCACACACCCTGACATCACCGGAAGTGTGTTATAAGGCCACACACCCCGCCCCCAATGGTCCCGGCCGCCGCCGGCGGGAGTGTGAGGAAGCCCCGCGAAGGCCCTCCCTGGCCCCAGGCAGGCAGGGGTAGGGAGAGGCAGGGAGGAAGCAACTTACCCTCCCTCTTCTCCTGCCTCCTCCTGGCTGAATGAGGGCCGGAAGTGGGGCGGCCGGAAGCAGGGGGCGGGGCTTCGTCGTATGCCCTGCCCCCCGTACCTCACCCGGGGGAACTGCGATCCCCCCCCCGAAATGACCTCTGGCTTAACCTATCTCATAGGATTGTTAGGGTAAAATGAAAAAGAGGAGAACAATGTAAGCCACTCAGGGGCCCCACCGGGCAGAAAGGCAGGTTATGAAGGAAATGAATAAATAACCCCAAAGTTCACTAATGGGCAGCTAGGTTCAGACATTTTAATCCAATGCCAGATCATAAGAACATAAGAGATGCCAATGTTGGATCAGGCCAAAGGCCCATCCAGTCCAACACACTGTATCCCACAGTGGCCAGAAATACCAGTGCCATCAGGAGGTCCACCAGTGGTGCCAGGACATTAGAAGCCCTCCCACTGTTGACCCCCCCCAAGCACCAAGATGACAGAGCATCACTTGCCCCAGAGTCCCTATCTATACCTTGTGGCTAATAGCCACTGATGGACCTCTGCTCCATATGCTTATCCAATTCCCTTTTGAAGCCGTCCATGCTTGTAGCCACCACCACTTCCTCTGGCAGTGAATTCCAAGTGTTAATCACTCTTTGGGTGAAGAAGTACTTCCTTTTATCCGTTCTAACCCGACCGCTCAGCAATTTCATGGAGTGCCCACGGGTTCTTGTATTATGAGAAAGGGAGAAAAGTACCTCTTTCTCTACCTGCTCTTTCCCATGCATAATCTTATAAACCTCAATCATGTCACCCCTCAGATCCTAGTCTTGCACCAAAATGGGGCAATACCTTCTCCATTGGCACCCAGGCAAATTTGGGTGCATAAGAAGGGCATCACAAGCCTTCCATTTTTGTATCTGGTTCCTCTCCAGAACTCTCCCATCACCATGGAAATCACTGATCCTTCCTTCTTCAAGACAGGTAGAGTATGATTTTTGTTATACTTCTTCCCTTACAAGATTAATCCTTTTCATGAGGTTTATCCGTTTACTTTCTCTTAGGCTTCTCCGCTCAGGACTGACTTTCCTTAACATTTGCCAGCTCTTCCCCACTGCATCCTGGTTAGGGGGGACTCCTGCTTTCATTTATGTTCCAATTTACCCCGCCACACTTTTTAGTCCCAATTTGGGTAACCCTCCCCCCTTTGCTCTGAGTAGTCAAGAGGAAGAAACACAATTTCTATAAAGTCTAACTTTAAGTTGGTATCTAGCTTAAAATAACTACATACAAAGTAACTGCTTTTTAGAGGATTTTCTGATGTAACTGCTTACACTTGCATTTCTTTTCCGTACTGATTCCTCATTTTCTAGTCTGTATCTTGGTAAAGGTAAGTGCTTAGATCCCTTCCATCATCACATGATCTGAGATCTATTATGTCCAATTGGGAGTCATAAATACAACAAACTATTTATTTTTGCCCCCAAGTTGTATCTTGGCTATTCATCTTTAGGGGCACACTTCAGTGATGTGCCTAACACAGGGACTGATTTGGGTAACTGTACCTCTGCACTTTCAGTCAGTGCACAGAAAGGGACAGTGAATGTAATAATTATTGTATAGCACTGTGTGTAGAATAGCCAGGAGATCCTAAGGTTGTCTAGCGGCCTATTCTAGGTTTTTTAGCATTATACACCACTAAGTTGTGA